GAAAGGAGTGGGAGTTGCTTGTAGTAGATGATGACAAGGTGATCAACGCTGCAGCAGCATACGGTATGTTTTCTTTAAATTAACTTGATTAAAATTTACTATGTTTAACTAGGTAATATCATCGTGTTTACCGGGATTCTCCCTGTGGCAAGGAACGAAGAGGGTCTTGCTGCAGTACTCGCGCACGGCATGTATATTCATGACATAGACCCTTGACTACGGGCTAATCTCTTTATCATTTGCTACATAGAGATCGGTCATGTTGGTGCGTATGGAGTCTTCTTATCGTAACAGAATTCTGACTGCTATTGAACCCATACTAGTCGCTCGTCACAACGCTGAAATGGCCTCATCGCGCATAGTTTTCTTCGCCGTTGCAGCATTAGTTTCATTTGCTCTACAATGGGACTTTGGTCTTGCAAGTTCTTTAGCCAACCTGGTTCTTGTACTGCCCCACTCACGGGCCATGGAATTTGAAGGTGCAATTTTTCGAGTGTTCTCAGCCATGGACTCCACACATGATTCTAATAACCCTCTTCAGCGGATGCAATTGGCTTAAAGCTTATGTCCAAAGCCTGCTTCGAACCCCGAGCTGCGCCGGAGTAGGTGTTTACAGTCATCATCTTCGCAACAATCTGTGCTAATGATTCCGTAAGAATATTCGAACGCCTAGGCAAGATCGAGGAACAACAAGGTGTGATGAAAGAGCTCAGTTTCATGTACACTCATCCCTCATCACAAGCGCGCGTTGAGGTGTGTTGCATCATGTCAATTACCATGTTCTTCTTTCTAATCCCGCGGTGCTCGTCAGCGACTGGAGCAAAAGATGCCTGAGGCATACGAAATTCGAGCAAGGAGTCCAGAGTGCGCTGGGATTCTTGACAAGCTTCAGCAATTCCAGGAAAGCCGGAGAGGATGGGGTTGGTAGTAACTTCGTAGCTTTGCTTTCAGTTACGAGAAGTTAGTATAGAACTAAATCATCGCTCGATCAGGACTACCTGGTGCAAATGGGATGAGGAGAAAGAGATGAAATCACTGCTCAGCGGTGTATTGCCCCTCTCTTTCTATTATGTTAACGGTTGACTAACGGTTGTTAGACTAGGTTCATCAAACCAAGCCTGACGGATGGACACCGCCGTGATTAAGAGTGTCCCGACACCTTTGTGGCATTACTAGCGCTACCATGGCTATCATCGTCTTAGTTCGCATGGTAAATGAAATCTCTGTAATGCGGATTCTCAAACGGCCTTCAAATTCCCAGCATCATGCGCGCTGGATCCCTAAACCAACGACACCTGTGATTGGGGGAATACAAAGCAATCTTATCATAGCAGGCACTGGACCGCCTAGGCTTATCCAAGAAGACACGATAGTACGTTTTATGCCATATCCTGATATATAAGAGATACCACACTCATGGGTCTAATACACTTAGTGAACTACGAGTGTTCCGGTCGTCTGATGACACGATGGGTATTCACCACGTTTAACCCTAACACAATACCATTGATCGGATGAAAAGGAGTCTGAGTCCTTGTGTGCGATTCGCCCGGCACAGTGTCTAACAGCCACACTATGCGGTACAGGAAAACCTCGTCTCAGAACGCCCCCCAACATTCTGTTCCCACTCATTTTCCAATGTTTCACTATTTTTGTGCGCATCGGACGGAGAGTCCTCAAAGGCCGATACATGCGAGTGGCAAACATACGCATAATTTTTCTGGCTGTAAACCAAGTGCCAATGCCTCGTAATGGAACCAGCTGGGGGCTCACAAGGACGGGGCTTGTTCTCACCGTCAGGCGCCCGAAAGCGTAGAAACTTCCATTGTCCCGGACTTCTCTCCTCATGTGCAGGGTTGCTTCAGTTACCGTGATGAATATTTGCGTTCATGTAGCCCACTTCTGCCGCCTCCAGAGCCAATGCCGTTTCAAGAATAAACATGATTTGGATCGCTCGAGGTAGAAAGTGTATCCGTCTTCCATTGCGTATATTTTCAAGCGCGAATTCTAGTGAGATTGGTTCTCTACTTGCACTAGTTTGACATGCTAACAATATTCCAGGAGGCCCACAAGCATAGCGCCATCTGCGCTTCTAGCCGGTGAAGACAGGTCGGCATTAGCCATCAAATTGAGTTTCTACACCTTTATCCGTATGAGTCTGCCATCGCGGCAGTGCACGCAGTCTAGTTCTCCGAACGCTGATGTACATGGTTCCCATGCGACTACTCCCTCATATATAGCTCCTTGTGCCGCGTGCCGCGTGCAGTCTGGTTTGTTCTCCCCTGGGCTTTCACTGGCCCCACGTACGATAGCACTCCCCGATAGTGACGATGGATGTATCGGCATTCATTGGCCCCCTCCTGGTTGAAATCTGCTTTGCCCTCATGTAAGCCAATCTGGAACAAATTGTAACATGCTGACTCATGACTTGTTTGTAGACTTTACGGCGTTTTTTGCGCACAGGTCTACTATTGGTGGTCTGCGTACAAGGATCCCCTGCACGTACGAATTATCATCTGGTCTCTACTGTAAGCTGTTCCACATACTCACCCTGCTGATTGAAGCTCATGCTACCATACTACATAGGGTACTAGAGACCGTGCATGTGGGATTCTGCATACACGTCCTGTATTGGTATTTCATTCTCAATTTCAGCAATGAGAACGGTCTTAATGAGATTGCATGGTCAGTGGCCAACTTTGGTCCTCTTTTTAAATGTCTCACATGTTTTTACAGGAGCTTTGGGGTTAGTCTGATCTGTTATGCGGGGGGACTAAGCTCTTACTACTTGTTCTTTAGGTTACAGTCTACCTAGAGGCAAGTGTTGATGCTCCGGCCCCTAAACCGCGCATATTGAACGAATGAACAGGTGCTAATTAGTGCGACCGTCCAATCGTGAGTTCTGCTTTCATATTTCTACAAAATGCTTACTTAATTTCGCGCAGGTTTTATATGCTCCGTATTTGGCGTTGTGAATATTTTAGCTATATGAGCTTCCTTTCTATCTGCTGACACGGCCTATGTGACAGTGCGGAAGCAAATTCTTGTGGTCGGCTTCATGGTACGTAATCCATCTCGTTTTGGAGATTGGGGATTTTGAAATCAAACTCGTGCAGGCTGCGCTACTCATAGCTCGTGTCGGTAAGTTGCTCATGTATCCCCCATGCTACTCGCAGGCTGAGAATATTTTCAGGACTTGCATTCAGTGAGTCAAACTCCCCTGTCTCCGACATACAGCGCGGTAATTAAGTCTTATTCGTTCCCTGCAGGAACAACTTCATTCGCGTACGTCGGTCTGTTCCAATGCAGTGAAAGCCTAACTCTGAGCGATTGACAGATATGAATTTTCCACGTGGGCCGGCCTTCTTGAAGCAAGTTACACCCACGTAAGGTTATTGTATTTTGGTAAACGATCATACCCATTTACTTGGATATTCATTATACGAACAGGCTCCGATTAATGCTGGATGGGCTCTCAATGTTGCCGTCGACGCAGGCATTACATTTGTGTTGGCTACGTATCTATATCAGGACCGTTCTGCGGCGACTAAAAGGTACTGTCAACGGGATGTTGTCGCCGAACAGCCAACTGATGCTGGGTCTCACCTGACAGGGGCACAAAGACTCTCATCAACAAATTAGCCCATTATGCGATCAGTACCGGTGCATTAACTCTGTGAGTTAGTTACGCGGTTCTCACGTCTATGCCTGCCTCCTGAACCGCCTTCATCCGTTCGTAGGATGGCATCCACCGCAATCTTCATCACAGTATGTCCCAAGCTCTGTATCGACACTGGATACTGAGATCGTATGCAGTTCAACGCTCGCAGTCACAGTCTTGTGTTCGGTGGATTGCTCGAGGTCCTTACCAAGTGCAAGTATGCCGTTATTCTTTTGTTTTGTTACTCATGCTACTCCATCCCCAAAGTATATGCCAACTCGATGCTGGCAATGTACGTTGCCTGATCTATCTTCCATTTGAGCGATATCTGATGGTCCCCTCGGATCGATAGGCTCAACGCCAGGCGCAGCGTTATGGAAAAGGCATCATCTACGAATAACATGACGGTAGAACTCTCTGATCTAGCTCAAGGTGTATCTTCGTACAACAATGCTCGCTCGGTACACCAGATCAATGGCTTCTCTACTGTTGATAGTTACTGACAGAGTTACGTACAGGCTGTCATTCAGGTGACCAAAGAGACGACAACCATGACGGACGCATGGGTACGTTGTGGAACTACTATTCACCGCTCAAGTCGGATTTTGATGCTGTACATATATCAGGACGTCGAAACACGCTCGCCAGCGGTATCAGCACATTCGGTGCGGCTGGCCACCTCGGAAGAATTATATGACACCAAGAAGAGCCCTGTATGATTGTCACGTTTATAAGGTTGTCCTCTGCGATTTTGTTTAGTATCGTTATTATTTGTATGGATCCCACGGATGACTACGCTCTTTTGATGTTGTACTTGTAACAGATTAAACTATATCTGAAGTGCAAATAGAAAAGAAGTCACAGCCTCTACTAAAGATAATGACTCAAAGGGTAGCGTAAGCCTTGTCTAGACAGGCGTGAGACAGCTGCACGGTATGCGGGTATGCGAGATGATTGGGGGGAGGCACGGGTAGAGTGTTCTTTATTCACACTAGAGGCTTCTTATGTTCTTCCGAGTGGGAAGCGAAGCCTTTTCGTTATATAAATAGTACTGCGTCGCATATGTGGGGCATGAGAGCTCTACAGTCACATACGGGTGTAGTCTATCTATGCTTTTTTATTGAACTTGTTATACCAGCGTACAGTAATTGCCACCACTGGCGATCGAACAAAGTCCAATTACCCAAAAGGGTAATAATAAACTGGAAAAGTGTGGCGCGGAAACCCTTTACTCGTCTTCAGGCTTCAAAAAAAAGTTCCGGCTTTGAGAAAAAAAATTCGGCCTCTCATGGGTCATTCGGACATAATTTTACCCAAAACATTGAAGATAAAAGAAAAAGGGCTCAATCGGGAATTGAACCCGAGACCTCCTGCAGGTTGTGGCGTGGGAAGATCCCATGCGGGCGTTGAAAACCCGAAGCAGGAATCATACTACTAGACCATTGAGCCATTATAACCACTAGACCATTGAGCCCTTATAGATGTAATAGTTGATATTATATATATATATCACAAGTGGCTACTCTAAGCATCAGTATTGAGTTGTGCTCTCCTTACACATAACTTACAATTACAATTGTTGAGTTATACTCAACACTTGACACATACACATCAATGTTTTAGGATCCTTAAGAGACTACATACAAGTACAGGAAAAGCAGTCTGTATACAAATTTGGATTACATACTGGCTTCAGCAATCAACTTTGTCAGAGCTTATAAGTGAAAAGTAGTGTGACATACTACTTGGTCACAGACCAAAATGCACGAACGGAATCCACTGCACAAAGTCAATCATTCCACCCTTCTTGTTGTATAGTACCTTGACAGCTTTGTGCAATGCATATGCTGGCTGCAACTCCCCACCTGCCTTCACCTGTTCTGCCACAACCTTGTAAAATGTCTTCATTACGTCTGGTGCAATGATATCAGAGATTGACCACATTGTTCCAACAATGCTCTTGTAGCCAACATTCAGCATTCCTGCAGCAAGATGCACAGCTTCTTCTGACAATTTCTCATTGCCTGTAGCCATCTGGCATGCAGAGAGAACAGCGAGATCAGCATTGGGAAAAGAGTGTGACATTAGTGTGAAGAGAGTGAGTCATTCATTGTGGAGAGCAAAGGTGCTCTTTGTCGGATTCAAGCGATTCTGGACACCGTGGCATGCAAGATGAACCCAGTTGTGTGTTCCCATTCCTTTTATAACTGCCTTAACTGTTCCCTCATCATCTTCCAAGACTTTTGCAAACTGCCCAAGAAGTGATATCACGATTGCTACCTCTGCTATGGTTCCTGGAATAGAACTGCAGCCCGGTGTGGCTGGCTGTGATACAATGAGGATGTGAGGACCTTGACTAGAAGGAGTTGCTTGTGTGCATGGCCTGAGTAGTGCTTCGAGTGTTGGTGTATATGATGAGACCACATGATCCATGGCGGTTTCTGAACCCTCTTGCTTACAGTATATACTGGAAGCATGAAGAGGAAGAAAGGTGAGAGGGCTGGTAGAGCACCAGGTAATATGAATTAGGTGGCTAGGGTCAATGTTTGGCTTGAGTGAAGTTGATATCAGATACACACTATATTGGATGATAAGTCAAAAGAGCTCACCAGAGTATGGATGACATTCAGAACAGGCTTTACTACCTGAATCCAAAGATCACTGAGAATTCTGTACATTGGGTTGTGTTTTCCACCCCTCTCTGGTAAATATCTGCCCCTATCATTGTCGTGTTCCCCTAGCGATCCATCGTGAAACTGTCTGCAAAGATGTCTGGTAGCAAGAATTGCTCAAAAGTTCCTTATGAAGTACCTTTGCATGGTCATATGAGAAGGCAGGAAGTGGGACATGTTTGACTTCACCTGGGTGAGAGAGAATCAAAGTATCACATCTTGAACTATGAACATTAATAATTACAATGAGGCCTGAGGCACAGGCACAGACAAGTTGACATAGTGTTTTTAGTCGCAAGAAGTCTTTAAATCCATGGAGTGTGCAGACCCTGGCAATCAGCTTTTCATATTCAAGTGCATGAGTGTGTGAATTCTGTGCCTGGACATTGAGGGACAACTGAGCATGTTGGTCGCTCATTAATGTAGAGTTGGATAATGGATTGATGGCATGCTGAGGCATTTGAGAGACACAACGGAGATCATTAGCAAGTTCGGGATAGTGTTGTTGTAGCCCATCAACTGGAATGTGCAGTTGCAGTACCTGAGACCAAACTATGGCTTGGCCAACCTCTAGCCACTCGAGAGCTCGGCTGTACTCTTCAGCTGTAATTGCAACTGCAGCTGTGTCATTGACAGAAATCCCAATGAGTCACAGTTCTCGACTAGCATATCAACCACGTATGTCGTTGCCTAGCCATATGCACTGAGGAATAAGAGATAGTGTGTAGTCATAAGTCTCAAGCAGAGTAATCCTCGGTGAAGTGGCAAATTGGTGAGAGTCCTTGGAAAGTAGCTCTGCACAGTTAAGAGAGGCTTGCAGTCAGCAGAGTGGAGGGGAAGATCTATGGTGCATCACCTCCAGGAATGCTTTGAGAGCATGTGTCGCATTGTCAGGTTGGGAATATGGAGAGTGTAGGCGTGTGACGAACTGCAGACCAACAGATTGAATTGTTGATGCCTGGTGGGCGTGGTTCTTTGACAACATCTCAACTGCATGCATGGTGGATTTGAGGGCTTCATCCAGGTCATTAGCATCTCCTACATGATGAAATCAACTCTCCAACAAGTTACTGAGACTATGAAGCAGAGAGGGTTTATCAAGATGCCCTTCTGGCATGATATTTACTGCATGAGTCTGGTACATAACTGTCCTTTCCAAGTCATCTAGACCTCCTGAATGTTCGAATTGCTGAAACAGGCTATCCCCAAGATTATGAAGATAGTTAGCTTTCTCAGGGTGACTATTCAGAGAGAGGTCTACCACATGGATCTGGCGTGCGATTGCCTTCTCGAGGTTGTCCATGTCACCAGTGCTTTTATATCTCTCTTGTTACGAACATCGTAACGTACGTGACCTGCACATGACTCAGCCAGTACATTTTTCCTTATCTATTTTTCCTTATTTGTTCCACCTTCCCCATATGCACTTATTACTTGAGTTCCAGAGTACGCCTCATGCCTTTCCTTCCATATGCTCCGCAGTCTCCGCAGTATGGTTCAACTCTTACTCCCAATCGTCCACTGCGCTCCACAGTCTTCTTCCTTCACTCTCATTGGGCGCAACCCCAATCGGTTACACTGCACAGTCCGCAGCCCAGGTTCAACCCTTGCACCGTTGTATTACGCAGTCCGCAGTAGTCGGTTCTTAGGCCTAACCCTAAGTAGCTAGTTTAGTCAGCGACTTCCTGTACAGTATATAGCCACCAATGATCGAGGCTTCCATTCCTCAGATTGTCCACTTTGTATTCATATTCCTTCTATCAGACATCGTTCCATACAAACTCTCGACTCTGATTCCAATCCTTCGTCGCGACCTAGCCTCTGATTCCTGATATTGTTGAGCTCTGATAATCGCCCAGCGATATCATTGAGATCCGATAGACGGTCTTAACATCTCTCTTAGCAAATTAGTGAGATTGTTTAACCAGGATGGCTTATCTTGATGACTGTCAGGTGTAAGTGAGATAGCATGAGACTTTAGTGCGATGAACCTCTCTAGGTCTTCGAGGTTTCCAAGCCGCTGAAATCGTGTTTGTATGAAAACTCCAATGTTGTTCAGAAAACCAGGCTTGTCGGGATTGCCATCAGGTATAAGTTTCACTGATTGAGTATACAACGCAATGGCTTCCATAAGATCTTTGAGGTGTCCGAGGCATTCAAATCACCTCTCAAGTGAGATTGCGAGATTGACCAACCATCGTGGCTTGCCTGGATGACCATCAGGCCGAAGATCGACCACACAGCTCTGAAGTGTGATCGCCTTCTCTAGATCACTGATGTTTCCAAACTGTTGAAATTGCGTGCACAGTGCAGAGCCAAGGTTATTAAGCAACCCAGGCTTGTTTTCATGATCGTCTGACGCAAGTTTGGCAGCACAAGTCCAAAGGTCAATGGCTTCCTCAAGATCTTCAAACCTTCCGCTTTGCTCAAATTGAGAGATGATCAAAGTAGCAAGGTTACTTAGCCGTGATGGTTTTTCTGGCCAGTCATCGAGTATGAGCACATTAGCCAGCCGCCAAAGGCCATTTGCTTCTTCAAAGTTGCAGCATTCTCCGACACTCTGGAATCGTACGTGCAATGCCATAGCAAGATTGGTGAGGCTGGCAACTTCCTGGAACTACTGTCCTCAGTTAGTTCCATAGCGACACGCCAAGATCGGATAGCCATCTCTAAGGCTAGCATGTCGCCTTGAGTTCTAAAACATTCAAATGCCTGCCAGCCTAGTATTTGCATAGGGAAATCGAGCGAAATGCTATTGCTGAAGTCTAGCATCAAGGGCATAGCAGACTATTTCAAGTTAAGCAGCGAGGTTAGTAAATTAGTGAAGAGAATTACATGTGAAGACACACGGAAGGTTCTGCATGGGCAGAGGGGTGTGATTCATCATTATTGGGGGCTGACATGGCAGTAGGGACGACGTGTGTGATACTCTTTAGGTCAGGAGAGGGTTGAAAGCAGTAGTAAGTGAAAAATTGGGATTGATAGGTATATACGCGATAGTCAAAACAAGCTGAGGAAAAGGAGCTAGAATTTGATCCTTGCAGATCACTCAGCGACCCAGATAGTGTCAGAAGAAACTTGTGACTTACCAGATAGAGGAAGATATGTATTGAAGTTGCTGCAATCACACCCTAACTCCTTATTAGTGGAGGCCGATGTCACGATCTAGAAAGTCACACCCTACTCCGACTCAACTCCGACGTACCTACTCCGACCTCCAACTCTTTCCTGGACTTCACTCATACTCATCTACTCCACTCCTCTGATCTCCGATCCTGACCTCCAACTTGCACTACTACATGGCACTTCTTGGCAGTTCCTGGCGACCACATGTATACCCTTTGCACCCATGTTATCCTTCCCCATCTTCCCCTATCATACTCCCATCGTGTTTCACCTTGTCTTTCCAACCCCGCTCCACTCGTAACTCCGACTTGCTATTGTTCTCTTTTAGTACATGTCTCTCTTACTAGCATAGCCTCATGTTTTTCTTTTGTTCTTTTGGACTTGAACCCGTATTTGAACTTTGGTTTCCCACAGTATAAGTAGACACTCGATTGTACAGTTGCTAGCCAAGTTCGAATATCGACTAAGCTCCCCATTGCCTACTCTCAAACCTCGTCTGACTCTGACTTCATTCTTGGCCTCTGCGGTCAAGTCTTACTCTGTCTTCATCTCTCTCTCTCTCCCTCCAACTCTCATCCGCCTTTGCTCGTGCACTTCGCAAATCGAGCACGGAATCCTTGAAGGCGTAACGCACGACGTTGAAGTCACACT